AAGATTTATACGTATAATAAACAACAGATATGCAATATAATATACATACGATCAATACTGTTAGACAACCTGCTTGTGACTTGCATCGACAGAATTTTACTCAAGGCTATTTCACTCAATATGACGGCTTAACTTTGTAAAGCATGTTTAAAAGAGACATGCCTTCATATGAAATAATTCTGAACTATTTAACCCATTGTTTTATTTGCTTTTAGACTTTCAGACTTTCAGTAGTTCAACACGCCATACTCGGGACAATATAATAGGTATTTTATCACGATTCTATTGAAATTGTGTTCATTAAATTAAATTCAATTACAATGAGCATATGGTTACACCCATCATCTTGATATACTTCTTCGTAATTACTTCAGCTACACGTTGTTATCAACACTACTTACTATTGTGATTCTTCGTAAAAATAGTTTATTAATGCAGTGACAACTTAAGTCAGTCCTTGTTAGCGTGAGAGACGCCGTACAACTAAAGCTAGTATAGATATAAAGGGTACAAGAAATGCATTTACGCATACAATCATGTGAGCACGCATGATATTTTCGTATTTTTATAGGTAGATAGAGAGATGGTCCCGGTAATTTCTTTATCAAATTAAAACTATCAAATAACATTCCACTTGCACAGAAAAAAACAAATCAAGTTTTTGTATACGAAAAGAAAAAAACAATCAAAAAATGTTAAATAAAAATTGTCCGAGCCAGAGTTACATTTGCATGCAAGAATAGCGCTAATGCACATTTCATTCTTAATAATATAATAACTGTAGAAACTATCGGACTTATCAAATGACCCCCCCCCCACTCCGGAGTTTGCTTTCTTAACACGTTTAATGTAGAACGAACAAAAGATAAAATGAAACACGTGAAAGACTGATAGAAACGAAATACCCTAACTACCAATTAGTATTAATAAAATAGCTGCAAATGTTTTGCGAATATAAATTTCTGTTCATGAGATCATATTCGTTGGCTTATCATTTACTACAGTTTTGCAAGTATGTGCGTTTTAATATAATGTATTATGAAAACAATACCTGATATGTACACTCAGTTAAATTCTAATTACGATTAAAACATTTTTGTATTGAACTCTTAAAATTTTGAAAAGTGGTGATGTTTTACAGAAGAATAATGATATATGAATAACAATACATTTATTACCTTAATAGTTTGGTATACAAATGTGGAAAAATAAGCATAAAACATAAAGGAAATCGTGGTATTTGCAACAGGAGAAAACTATTAAATGCTTGATAACCTAGTATAAGATGATAGGTAAAAGCAAAGTGAATTATTTTAAGATAGATAGCTATCATGTGATTTTAATGATCGCTATAACATATCCTAACAATTAACGAGTTTCAGATGTTTTGTCAAATTATATAAATCTGCTTACTGCAAGAAATCTTGCTTAGATTATATATTACAGTGTTGATGTTGTTTTTTTAAATCAAAATAACAACCTTAAAAAAAACTGATTTTGCATTTAATCATATGCCCTTTGACATACATGTTGCTGGAAACGGGAAATTCTATGCTACCTGCTGAACATACTTAAAACTTTGATTCTCATTATTTTCTGATAATAAATTAAAGTCACATTAAATAAAACATATTCCTTCCAAACTGCATAGAACATTACCTCTGATACATTAACAAACTTTGACCAATGGGCATTTGCATTGTGAGTTGATCGAGGAGCTATTATAATAAAAACAGATGGAGATTTGTCAGAAACAAATACATGATATATATATGAAAAATTAATTTTAAAAAAATTGAAAGCAAATATTATTATTTTCTTTGCGCGTTTTGAATATTTTTATACGATATCTCACAATACTTATTTACAGTTTTGAAAAGAATAATGTAATATGGTTTACATAACAACATCCGCAGAAAATGTTTTGCGTCATTCATTTGAATTAGAAAAATATGTATGATTAATTAGACAATGACGGTATACCAAATCGGCTCAAGTTGCATGTTTATACCTTTATCTAATAAGATAACTTTGAATCCCTTAAACAGAAAGTGACATGTCAGTGTGTATATTGAATTGATTATCACATAATTCTTTCATTATCAATTTGGTATAGATTGACATTAGTGTTTCATTAATTATTGACAATGTAGACAAGACGCTTCCAGTAAAATCACGATCATTTTAACTAGACTTGCAAAGCAATACCAAATAAAAAAGAATCAAATTATTAAAAAAATATATCAAAATAGATGTCATTGTATATAGACATATATGCATGTCTAGTGAAAAAAATACTTTTTTTGAATTTCCGGTCACATGTGCTTGAAACAAAAATCTTTTAAAAAGCAAATAAAGCACGTTTCTCTCAAGAACGAGCCAATCAATAATCAGATTCGTATATCAATCACTGTATCTTATATAATATTGTAACAATAACACAAAGTCAATCACAACAATAGTGTTACAAAATTAAACAGGAATTCATAAGTTTGAAGTCGTTCATGACGTAGCTATTCAGGTAACATGTATAAAATCAGTTCAGAATTGTCGGTATAACACGTTATATCTGCAATATATAATATCTACAGTTTTAATATGTTGTTACATAATTTTCCGTCATGTGTTGGTAGCTTTGATACACTGTTATACATTGTGTGTCTGTTCGAGCACATTGTTTCTAAGTAAACATATACACACACAAGTTAAATAAAGCTACCTATTTTGATCATTGGGGGCGTCCGTGGCCGAGTGGTTAAGGTTGTTGACTTCAAACCACTTGCCCTTCAACGCTGTGGGTTCGAATCCCGACAGGGACTTTGGATTCTTTCATGTGAGGAAGCTATCCAGCTAGCTTACGGAACGTCGGTGGTTCTACTCAGGTGCCCGTTCGTGCCTGAAATAATGCACGGAAGGGCAGCTGAGGTCTTCCTCCACCAGTAAAGCTGGAACGTCGTGATATGACCTATACTGTGTCGATGTGACGTAAAACCCAAAACAAACAAAGTTTGATCATTGTATTACAGTACACTCAAATTACGAATGATATATGCCCTTGATTGAAAGTTTTAACTTTCATGTGCTCTAGCATATCGTTGTAATATTTAACATAACTAACAATATAGTTTAAGATTGCGACTTAGTTACAAACACTCATAGCACGATCGATATTTGTGATTGTTTGATAATATTAACTCTTATGTTGAGTGCTTTGTTTTAAAATAATCGTATATTTTATCTTCAAATACAACAACATGATTTTTTTTATCTGAATATTTCATAACTTAATGCTTTATGTTGGTATTTATATATGTATTTTAAGATCATCACAATGGTGAATTAAAAAAAAGTTTCAATCAATCATTATACATAGTGTTAAACAAAACACAATACCATAAAAATATTGATCATTTGTCTCGGAAAATATTTCATTTAAATATGTACTTTTACACAAAGCCATTTTATAGCCATCATTTTCATAGTCAATTTTTATAATCTTTATAAATTTTGTTTTTACACATAACCACAATTAATGATAAATAACAAAATAAAGAATGAAAAGTATAATTATCGATCAAACACATCGATCATTGCGTTAATGAAGTACATTGTATAAATAACGTTTTAATATTCAATTACCGTCAATGTGGTAAATGTAATTGGACACAATGGTGAGAAACCCTTTATGTACAAGAAACACCAAGCATGTAATATAATCTACATACGTATAATACTGTTAGACAAGACACAAGTGATATCGATCGACGGAATTCTACCCTCGGAATGTTTTTACTTTTTTACTCAATTTGGCGGTTTTACTTTGTGAACCATGTTTACAGAAGAACAGTGCAGAAATATGCCTGTATCCAAAATAGTTATAAACTATTTACAAATGTGTCCTATACTTTAAGACATTCCGGTTGTTTAATATATCATATTAGATCAAAACTTTTTAGGCAATTTAAAGCACGTTTCTATTAAATTAATGTTCGTTAGCATTGTTGCCCCGATCATCTTGATAAATTGGTTCGATTTTATACGTTTTGAGAGACACTTCTTGATATTGTGATACATTGTTAAAGAAGTGGTTGAAAAAGGTTGGGACAACTAAAGTTAGTGCTAGTAAGCGTGAATGACGTCGTACAGCCTATGCAGGTATAGATAAACGGAGAAAAAGAAAGGCATAATCACATTTCATCACGCGAGCAGTCACTGATGTTTTATGTTTTTAAAAGGTGCGTCATGGGGCACCATGTTTATATATGTGGCTACAATGATGATTTTTTATCAATTAAAGTATCAAATGACATGGTACTATCACGGAAAGGTATGTTAGTTTTTGTATACGGAAAAACGAGAAGCTTAATGCGTAGTTTCCGAACCAGAGTTCTATTTGTATCAAGAATAGCGCTTTTATTCGTGATATAACAACTGCAAAACCATCGGATTTTACTCGCTCAGCAAGCTTGCGCTTTGAAAGCATCAATGGGTCCGATATTTACGAAAGAATATTAGGTACTTATTTTATACTTATAACTAAAATATTGATGAAATAAAATGTGCGCATTTTTGTATTCCTTATTTTAACAATGAAAAAAAGATATTGCAGTTAATCATGTGTTTCTTTCTTCCACTGGGGTCTTGCCTAGCTATTTTCTTCTGAATCCAGTCAAAACACATACTTCAACGGTAAATCTTTTGGATCGCAATGTCAACAAAAATGATGTGATAAATATGATATAGCGGAAAAATCAAATTTGTTTCTTTATAAAAAAATAACAAAAACAAATGGGACTAACGTATACGAACGGTATACACACGGTAAAAAAAAGAACCTTTCTCTTTGTTGGAAATACTTAAAAACTTGAAAACTGTTTTTTTTTTCAATTTTTGAAACATGTTGTTAAATGTTTTAAGTCACCGATTTTAGAAACGGTAAATTCAATACAATACGGTTAACATTGAATAATGTGAATTTCAATATCACAAGTATTTTACTTTATGTTATATTGATAAACTTTTAATAAACCATTGGATTGTTGACTGATGGTTTATCCTTATTTGACAAGAGTATAAACAAACATAAGTCTTTAAACGTTTGACGGCATTTTTATGCTAAGATTACATTACAATAGAAATCTTCTGTTTAAATCTTTATAAAGCAAATCATTAAAAACGGTCAACTCTGTAAATACTTAATACTTACAGATCACGTTTGCACTTGATTCGATCGCCGACTTTCCATGCATCTCCAGATTTTATACCGGATTTGCTTCCTGGGACATGTTTATACACTCTTAAAAATAAAGTATAGATAACATGTTTAAACAAAAGAATATGGTATATTTTTCACAAAATTCATAGTCATTTTAATCAATTTCGTCACATAAAAGACTCTTATCTCTAAGCAGAACTGTTGGAGGAAAGTGCAGTATTTTTTCAATAATATTTAAAAACATTGATACTGAATTAAAATGTGTTGTTGTTAGTATTTAGTTCAGTGTAATATTTATGTAAATTTAGCTTGTTATTGTGTGTGCCAAAAAATATAAACAAATAAACACTCAATAACGAGGATGTTTTAGTAAATGACACATATAAATCTAGTCATAGTAAATAAAGTTTGACAAAACTACAATCAGATTATGTTCATACTTTGCTTATGATTGTACATTATTTTCAAGTAAATGTTGTATGTGTATTGAGTGGATGCTTAACAATGTGTAATAACTATGTTATTCGTTTTTGTTCAATGGCATACACATTTAATCATGGACACATATTATATTTATTTCAGATGTTATTACAGACGCCGTAACAAAATTAAAATGTTTTTGTAACACAATTTTAAAAATATATGGATATTGTGACCTGAAAATTATACTGAACAAAATAAAACATATCCTTAACAAAGTCACCAACATCGTATTACACTTATTTAATATGCACCAAACATACACAATACAAACGCCTGATGTATTTTAATCTAAAACGTGAACATTATTTCCATCTTTTATGAGTGGATAGTAAAATAAATTAATTGCTACGTGTATGCAATAAATACCTTTAATCATATTAAAGGAATCTCTGTTCGGTCCCAAAGTCTTAAAACATTATATAAATGTCTTACATAGAACGCTTCGACACAATAAGATATGCAAAACAATTTAGTTATATTCTCAGAAATTAATTGATAATCGTATTTGTACCCGGTTTGAGTATAATGTTTATAATACGAATTTATATTCTTTTAAACGGATTTTGTTTATAATATTGCAGGAGCATCGTTTCTTTCATATTCCTAGATTTAGCAGCTACAGCAATGAAATCCTTTATTCATTTGCAAAGTTTTGTAAATAAAGAAAATAAATAGTGCCTGTATATAATTCATAATGTCCATGGTAAAGTATAGCATTCATATAGTATATCAAACATAATTCACTGAGATATTCGAATCAAATCGAAATAATTTTTAAAACGCTGTTTCACAGCAAACCGTTTCATTTTCTTAAAGCAACAATATCATATTAATATTCAATAATAAACGTAAACATACGAGTCGCTGTATTATTTGATATATCTAGATTACAGCTTTTTTACCAAAAATTATAGTTAAAATTGAAATATTAAATAAGGCATTTCTTAGTACAATGTCGCTTGTTTGCAGAACATTTTTATTGATCTACAGAAAGCCATCATAAAAACGTTTCTTATTTATAAATGCGATATAATGTCTGACATTTATATAACCGTAAAGTATCTGATTGATGTAAGTTTACTATTTTGGCAATAATGCTCAGTAAATAAGAGAAAAAAAAAACAGCATGAACAACAAAAATAGAAAATACAACATTTTTTATAACAGAAAACGATTGTAGCAGGGTAAGACACTAAAATTTAGTTATTTATTTAACATCTGTTTTACTTAGATCTTAGCAGTTAAGTTATTCAGAATTATCACTGATAACGTCGTGTGTTTTGGAGGGAAATATATTTTTAGTTACAACAAAACATAGATAATGCGAAGTTCCTGTTTGTATATATCTGTTGTTTTTGTGTTGCTGTAGTGTGCAAACAAGCACTACCTTATGTTCTTTGTAAATATTCTATCACGTAACTGTAGTTTTTCTTCAACTGTATCGGAGCTTCATTTAAACGACTTAAACCAGTAAATATTTAAATGTTTTATCAAATTAAATTAATATAGTCTTCACAACGATTAGAACGTTATTATAATTTAAAACTTATCAAACAAGAAAACTTTTTTTAAATACTTTTTTCAAAGATGTGTACGTTATCATCATTTAAATGGTATCAAACTAGATCATGTGTATATAGACTTTACAATGACCTTTACAAAAATATCGTTCATAATTAATCAAAGTAGTACACTTGTATATTGTCTTTACACAAACGTTACTACTATTTATAATATACTAAACTAGAAACACATTTTTATTTCAGTTATAATTTTGAAGGTATTGAATATCCTTAATCATGGGGTAAACTAGGAATGATTCAAAATGACGTAAACTTTTGAATTACGCACACGTAGTTTAAAGTTTATAAAACACATATTAAAAAATACGGAACATACAATTAATAAGATAAGATAGAACTTCAATATATTCAGCACAAATTGCAAGCATGCAATGCGATTCTATAACTATAGTAATACATATGAGGCGCACGCAGGTTTCGCAGATTCTTTTTTAAGTTTAATAAATCCTAATTCTAGATCAGATTCACAAGAAAAAAAGAGCTAAAAGAAGCCACATCCGATTGATAATGCTAAAATTTAAAAGTTGGTTGTTATCTCTATATTGGAATTTTGTCACAACAATATTCATAGTGCAGTGTTACTAGTGTTTCTTGCTACAATTGTCGTTTACAGACTGGCGGGAAATCCGTACAATATCTATGGTATGTCATGTATCGTACAAACGGTTTTCTGGCGACAAGCGGCATTTGGTTGTGTTAGACAGAATATGACGTGACAAAAGTGACTTAAATTTTTATTAATATAGAAAATTTACATATTGTGTGTACACTGTGTCGAAAACATTAATTGCAATATTTTTAATAGAATTTGAAATGTCTTTGAAACGCTTTAAATAAACAAAAGGTTTCACACTATCTATAATCTACAACAAATAATGTCATGCATACAACATATATAAATAAGTCCGTATATTCCTGACATTGCTTTTGTTTATTTTGCCATAATTATATTCATCCATACAGATACTGCATAGGAAATACGGTTCTGACTTCTTTTGGAGCTATGTAGAGTAATAGTAAGCATGTCGCATTATATGACCAGAAATGGATCACAGTATTTTTCCAACAATGCATCATTGCAATGAAAATAAGTCAAATCAATTAGAAAAAAAACCAATATTCAAACGGTATGACTTCTGTATGAGAGATACGACTTTCTCAGGGTAGACCACATTGGCCATGTTGTACTGTATGTAGGTGTTTAATGACTTGTTATTTTGTCATATATTTTGTAAGAATTTGCTGGATGTTTACAAATTCATGATGATGTTATCTTGTATAAAATATGATGAATCATTTATTATTTTTATTTGAATTATCCCTATTATGATATGGAATGCTTGTTTTTTTTTCAGAATCAATATGTAAGTTTCAAGACTGGAAATAAATAAGACAACTGATAGATTTATATTTGAGATAACAGTAAATGAACTGTGTTTGCGCATTTATAAAAACCTTAACTATGTTCATCTTGTTCAAGTTGTGTGTTCATGTGTGTATTCGATTGGGAACATATAATGCATCGGAATGTATTAAATTTTAGAAAATATTTCAAAATTGAGTATTTGATGCAGATTTTATACATACAGAATGAACGTATTTTTCAATTATACTACATTTGTAGAATAATTCGAATACAATTACACAGTAAAAATACTACAGATAAAATGTTTAGTTTTACCTTACTGGAACATTAATTATAATAATAAAACAGACTAAGTTTAACATTCACAACATACACTTAAATGCATGAGGTTGTAAAATTTCTTGAAAACAAACACTATCTTTTAACTTAGTCGCCTTGCAAAACGTGCATCGTTATATAAACCGGAGGATGACGGAACACGATATTCGTGAAACATAATTGTAATTTATTGTCAGCAGTAAGTTTTATTATATATCATAATAACTTTTCTAATATATTATGATTATATTATTATAAAAAATATTTATTGAATACAAACACTCAGTACATATTCATATTTGAGGAAAATTGCCGAATGATGGAGAAGCATAGTGCACATCATATTGGTTTTTACATCTAAAGAAACTAGAAATAGTAACTAGGATACATCTCATGTGACACGTTTAACCCTTAGTCAGGACAAAGCTAATGCAAGCAAAATAAACTTCAACGGCTCACGATATGATAAAAAGCAAAGAAAAAGAACACTCTTTTCACCTTTTTGTTTTGAAAATGTGCTATTATTCACTCAGTTGCAGGCTAATTATTGTATATAATTATACTACTTTTAAATCAACAGTAAGACTGACCAAATCAATTGTTTACTAGATAATTAAGCTGTCTATACATACTTGCCGTCTGAATGGTATCCATAGGATTTTTGGCCTAATCCCGGTAGAAGATTATCTGGAAAGCCGTCCGGCACTAAACCAATAGCTAGAATAATTATATACTACACGTTCTATTCTACGTTTCTAACATTTTTTTCAACATTAACTAAGTGAAAAAACAACAACAAAAACAAACAAACTTACCCAACTTTTCATTTATAATAATACATTTCTATGAATCATAAACCATATTTTAATTCAAAGGAAACAGTTTGTCATGGCAATGCAAGACATGTCGTTTTGTAAAATTTTAAATAAATGTTGGTCTTTTATTGAACACCAAACTGAATGTAACAAGAGTATACACGCCGTTTAAATTGAGAACGTGATAATAAAAACTAATTGAACCTTTCATTTTAGTACATTTGTAATACATTTCTATTTTATGAGTATAGAAAAAACATTATGCAATATAAATATTGTATGAACACTACATGCAACAAGAGCGTGCAGTTCTAGCAAAATCGTAATGCCATTATCGTTGATAGATACGAGCTATTTTGAAATTACTTTTCTACAAATGGTCTGTCAGGTGAATATATGGTGAATGTATTTTACCTAAAGACCCGCTTTTCCCCATGCTTAATATCTCAATTTCAAAGAATCTTCCTACACGCACATATTCCTTGAACACAAACAATCCGACATCAGTACTTCCGTATGCGGCATGACTGTAAAAAATAAATGTGAGACCGTATTTAAAGTGTTGATGATTATCTTATGGAAAATTACGTTAATTTTACTTAATAAGCAATGAAAACATAACAATTATATTGTTGTTCCAATACCTTATGTCTACATGTATATCATTCATATGTATGTTTGATAAGAAACAAACATAGATAGTTAATAAAATTCAATTCGGTATTGCTATATTCCTTCTTAGAGTATTATGTAATTAGCAAACATATTTTATATATATGTTCATATCATTTTTAAAGATACTATTGCACAATCACATGAAATTTCTATATCGAAACATAAATGAATTTGTCAGATTTAAATATGTTTTATCTTAAGTTAAGGCCTTTAAACATTATTTGTTTTTTAAATAAGAGTACATTGTAACATATATAGAATTGATTTGAGAGAAATGTCCACATTTACATTTCACTTGTGTACATACCTGAGACATTCGCCATCTATTTTTAGATTTTTGCAAACCAGTTGTCTGCCAAGTAAAGGCTGCACATGAAATACACAATATATCTGTTAACGACATTTTAATGAACAACTGTTACATCTTTATAAAAAAAATGCAAACAAAATTAACATGTGACATCATTTAATTAAAAAAAACACTTAATTTAAGCGTTATCTAAGATAAGCAACATTTTAATTAAACAAACATTGAATTGAATCTTCAAGTACTACTTTGTTTTATTTTGGTGCTGCTTATCAGACCCTAGAGCCGTGTCAATTTGATGGCGTTACATGCAGAAAGAATCTGCGCTCTTTGTATACAAATAGTTTGTCCGAACATGTTACATTCATAGATTATTACGACGATACATGACTTTTTATCGCCAATAGTGGCTAATGTTTAAAAGACCTCATCATTTTTCAATAATGTTTAACATGGATGATTGTTTGTTAATATGAAACATTTTGAGCAGGTCAAGACATTTGTTACAGTGGTAGATGTCTGATTTAAGAGTATATGTAAGCCTTTTCATAAGCATTATGCATTTTACTGCTAAGATTATTCCATCTTTTGATCAAATAATCCCTTTTGTTATGACCCAATTACTTAAGTGTTGCAGTTAAAGTTTATGCAACGTCTTAAAGCACATGTAGGTTCAACATAAAATCTACATTCTTTATTAAAATGTAAAATTGCGTAAATCATAATAAAATCGATCATTTATTTTTAAATTACTGAACTAGAATAATGGTCACTTTATAATAAACTAATATTATTTCAATTATTTATCAAAAAATTCAAGGATTGGCGTCAGTTATTGTTTAATTACCTTATGGATGTTACTTTATACTGTGAGCACAACGAAATAATTTTAGACGTGAACTAATTTCATCACGAACATTGTTTGCCTTAAACATTTAATATATTAAATAACTCACTTGAAGCTTTTGGGGCGCTATGGCCTCCATCGTATCTTCTCTTGTACATGTCTGTACCACTTCTGTCTCTATTACAAAAACACATCTCAAGATTAGATTAAATACACTTGACATAAGAAAACGGTATTATGTTAGGACTATTATTGATTATATTTAAAAACACTAAATTAAGTAATGCAAATTGCAAATACTTGATATGAAATCTCATATATAGTATCACCCGTGCGTGTTGGCATGAATATAAAGCAAACTGAATAACTAAGCATAGATATGATCACTTTATTAAAGTTCGTTTTAAAAGATGCCTTTCAATCAAATTTATCAAAAGTGTTCACTAAAACAATGCTGAAAAATATAACTTACCAATCTGTTTGTTTCTGCTTTCTCTTTGTGCTTGCTACAAATTAAATATAGACAATATTTTAATCGATAATTCTCCTCATTTATCATCTTATTAGAATGATTTCTTTGAATGATCTTAATACAAAAAAGAATGAATGCGACAATTGTATATAAAGCATTTTTTTTCAGACAATTTTCTAATCTATTTCCAAGAACAACAAAATAAATTTATAATCATTGTTACAAAATTTTGAGTTCATCTTAGAAAATATTTCGAGACTTCAAGAAAAAAATAGGTAATAATCCAGTTAAATTAAATAAAGCCATTATTCTGTGATTTTCTACCAGCGCTTACATAGATATCAGGTTGCCATGTATAACTAAAGTAGGTCATTGTATCGGCAAATGCATCTGAGAAGTTGGTACAGATATATTAAAAATGAACTAGTGTTTACAGTTCATCACCTTTATTGCAAAATATTTACGTGCATTTTTCTCAGGAGATAATATATAAATATGGATTAAATCGTAACAACATCACTGTTAAGAACATGATAGCCCATTCTATGGACAAAACGGTAATTCAATTTTAAGCTGTAATGTGACTTATCTCTCGGCAGTACCAATAAACTATTTAAGTGTCCAATGAATGATATTTAATATTTTATTTTGTGGGCATTAAACTGACGCTAATAAGTCAATAAGTTGTTATATATTTCTGCGCTTAAAGATCTTGTTGCTATAATAACAGTCTATCATTATACATTATGTATGTTCCCTATTTTTTCTTGTGTTCTGTAAGTTAAAGAGTTTCATTTGTCATAACTTGAAATTCTCAAAGGAACCGTACACCTCAAAGGAGGTTTAGTTATAAATCGACTGACCTGAGGTAAAGGATCTTGAACTTGTCCTTCATCAGAATTAGTTTGTTTAAATTCGTGTTGATGATGTTCACCTAAAATGTATAATTATAACACTAAAGTAATCTCATAAATTAAAGATCATTTCTTAAATGAAAATAGCTGAACAAACCTGTAGCATAAAACTTTATTGTTACAGACACCAGATGATACTCAAACGATTACTAAATATGTTTAAGTGATGATCATTGGCAACTGTAACGGATTTGATTTTTACGTATCTTTTTTTTATTAATATGATAATGTATATGTATAATAAAAGGGCAATAATGGGTAAACAAAAAAAAACTTACTCCGTTCAATAAGCATCCCAATCACCTTGCTTTGTGTTATTGATTGAGCTAGAATTTTGTCTTGCATGAACTTATAGTGAGTCACAATATTTTTGTTTCTAAAACTATCAATATTTTGCTGCGTTCTTTTCAGTTCTGGCTTTATTTGCAGGGATGCTACAAAGAGGTTATTTGGAGTGTCACTTTTTGACTCCAGTACATTGTTTTGTCGTTTCAATTCAGCTATCAAATCGTCGATATCCTTCTGCAGATCTTCCATTTTCCTCTTGTCATTCAACATTATGTCATTTGCCTGATTCAGAACCTTCTTTTTCATTTTATTTATACGCTCAATAACATGATCTGTGAATGCCTCTACGTCGCTAACAAATTGCTCATAGAACTCGGTAAGCTGTTTTCGGTTGCTCTCTATCAATGATAGACTGTCTTCAGCCTCTTTCATGCATTTATTCATCTCCTTTCTAAGATTTCTAAATTCTGGACTGTTATCATATGCAGCAGCTTTGTCACGAATATGCTCCAACTTACATCCATTATGATATACAAGAATGCATTCTGCACAGCCAACTTGGTCGTGCTTTGGACAATAAATTTTCACAAATTCTCCATTGTGCTCTTGGCATGTTCCATACGTATCACCAACCGTAACCGTTCCTGAGTTCGAATCATCGACTCTTACTAAGGAATGATTTCTACTAATTTTACGTCCCTTATGTTTCACAAAACATGAATTGCAAAAGTAAACTTCACATTCTACGCAAAACCCATCTGCATATGATGTTATGTCAAAATCTTCACAGAAACTACACAGTTTTGCATTTTTGTCTTTCGTCACTTTTTTACCAGGAACTTCCATAATTTCGTAAGAACACCGTACCTTTAAGTCATAAATTAAATATAAAGTAGCATTCTTAAATCAACTTCTCACATAGTGTATTATTTGTATATTAATTGTTATCTGTATATACAAACATACCTTTATGATAACTTATCACGTATTGTTTATTTTTATTGTTAACAATCGTTGTTACCGTTATAAAAGTAGTGGTAAATTGATTTAAAACAATGCTTGAACTGAATTCCTCATTATTTTTATGGAACGACTTTAAGTAATATCTCTCTATAATTCGCTGATCCAGTGAGTTAATGTTTGTTTGTTTTGTTTTTGTTTGATTGGGTTTTACGTTACATCGACACAGTATAGGAGTTTGTCATTTTGCGACGTTCCAGCTTTACTTGTGGAAGAAGACTTCAGCTGCCCTTCCGTGCATAATTTTAGGCACGAACGCGCACCTGAGTAGAACTACCGACATTCCGTAAGCTAGCTGGATAGCTTCTCCACATGAAATAATCCAAATAATCGAACACACAACTGTGAAGGGCATGTGGTGACCTATAATGTGTCGGTGTGACGTAAAACCCGATTAAACAAATAAAACAAACACACGTATATTCAACCATTCGAACATATATTATTGACTAATGCACCATTAAATTCATATGATGCGACATTCACCGGAATAAGACATATTGACCATGGCTCCTTGTCATACATTGTGTTATTAAATTAAACAGCTAAGATTGAAAAGTAAAGCATTAAAAGGAGAAGCAAAACGCAATGTTATCATGTTTTTATTGTAGCGCAGGAAAACAGAGCACGTAAACAAACTATCGTCAGACGTACAACAACCGTCCAAACACTGTGCGAACATGGGCATCATACAAGTCATTGCGGTCTTACTTTTAACTATGATAATTTCTTCGAGACATATGCTATAAAAAACAAAAAATATAAAGAAAATTAAAATAAAGAAACTTATTTTTTGATGTGCACGCACGTTAGTAAAAGTACACGATATCCGTATTTTTTTTTATTTTTATTGCAAAGTAAACAACACTGATGATGAATATTACACATATAACTTATTTTTCTTTATTCGTATCAATACTCGAAACATCATTGTATATTTATTCGGTATAAAAATAAATATACGAGCTTGTGAAATATTCATGCATTGATATCTATTTAAAATGACATACTTCTTTCTAACATAATATTTATGTTGCTATTCTTTTTAAATATCTGTCCGTCTTATAAGTATTCAATTTGATATTTGTTTGATCTGAATACACAACTCCTCGTATTTCAACGTTAAATTATGAATGATGTCTACACAATGACAGTCATGTAGAATGGAAAATAGTGTTAAACCATAGCTTTTTGTTTAAATCCCAAATAAATGAACGCAAAAACAGAAATGTATGATTTATTTTATCATTGCATTTCAAAATATGATATATGATCAACATACATGTTTCCTTACCTGTCACAAGATCCGTTAACCATTCATTATTCATACAAAATTGATATGTTTGTATACAAAATGACTGACGAAAATAATTCTTAAAAAGAAAGTTATCTTTATAGTTATTATTCTTTTATGAATGTATGCACAATAATAATCAAATGATGTAAAAAAATTTAATATCTTCTGCTTTATGAATGAAGTAAAAGGTGTAAATAATCTATTTATTTCCTTTATGCTTTCAACAAGTAGTTATTTTATGAGATTTAAACTATTTCTCACTAATCTTCCGAGTTCACAAAACATAATATATTTAGTACGTTAAGAGTGCATATTTATGTACATCTCTTTTGTCATCGTAACTCAGAAATTGCAAGTAAACAAAATTCAATGTTTCATTAAATTAACTAAAATACAATTGTTTATAGATATCTGATATAACTGCAACAATAAATTTGATTTTACTGACACAGTATATGAAAACCTAGATCAAATACAAGGTGATCTATTTGTATACAGAATGACTGACGACATTTTTCTTCTTTTTCCCCGGAAAAGTCGTAATCTGAAACCAGCCATATGAGTTGCCATTTTTTTTGTTAAATTAAAGCAGCATGGTGTACTAATTCCAAATTTGTGAAACTGATTTAGATAAATCTTTAAATGAAATCAGGAAAACTTTATATAATTTATCCTTGATTTTCCAAAGATTGAACATTACAGCTATATTATGTCGTTACAAAAATAGTGCAGGTAACTTAATTGGCATTCGACAACTTGCGTTCACATTTTATCTTGCAATAAATTACCGAAATAATTATAAACACTGTTAAATCATAATATTGTTATTTGAACAGTTTATATATGACTATGCTTCTACAATGAAGTATCAAAAACATTCAAACGTTGTTATTAAAGTATCAATGAAAAAATCTTATCTGGTTATATTAAGTATTGCAATGATAGTTGATACTATGATTCCGGGTTGATAACCCATTTTATATAAACGTTTATATTGTTTATAACTGTGCATATATCAGGTAATTTTTGAAACAAACATTTTATAAGTTGGAAGTAAATGTAAACAGTTTAGTGGACATAAATTCAGTTTGATTGATAAAAACATGATAATATGTCTGTCAGTTGAAAATACAACCACCAGTATATTAACATACGTAAAACATATTCAAATTAAGATAACTACGCCGGTCATATTGGTGTAGAGCTTGAAAAAAAGCAAACACTAATTTTAATCAAATGAAATTACTTACCTTTCGCTTAATCAGTTTTGAATAGCTATTTTATATAACAATTTGTGCGCGTTACAACTTATACATTTTCTAAATACGTTGAATAAAATCACTGATATACATCAAGCCTTTAGATAGTATGTTTATAAAAATTGATTTTAAACTTGGTTACACTCCACACCAGGTATTTTGACGATTTGGTTACATTAAACCGGTTATTATACAAACACTATTTTCTTCCGGGTTTACCGACATTTTTTTATCCATTAAGTTAAGTTACCTGTGATAAATAATGTGTGTGAATATTTACATACGCAGGGAACAATTTTAGAATATGTAAACAAATGGTGCAATGCTCTTTTATGTGTATTAAAAATGTAGCAATGCAAATAATTTAAGTCATTTCTTATACAAGTGGTATTGATAACCATACATGAGCGTATGTTCATTACTAGGCCTTCACAGAAAATCCTTATAATATAGAGCTTGATATGAGATGTATATAAAAAAGAGAGTTATGATGTTAAACATTATTACCAACTGATGACTTAAAGTGCTTTTGTTTTATTTATTTATTATATCTAATAATTGCATGTATAAACATTTTTGTGTTCTTTTAACTTTTGATTTTATAGATAATAATAATCTATTTAATATCATCTAAGATCATTTTTGTGGAAATACATTACGCATGCTTGTTTTCCTAAATTTTGAATAAAGTACTAACCGTCATTAAAGTATAATAGAATAATCATACTGCAGATAACGGTGAAGTTGGATCGTAAGACATTTTAAAATCAACTGACTGACACGTCTACATTTTGACAACATTTCAAATACATATCAAAGAATCGTAAGTGATGTAACGTATTATATTACGCACAACAAAGAAATATCACATATGTTTATAGATTATCATTTCATTTGGTAGAAGTATCGTCCTTAAAATTTCTATAAATCATTTTATTATATTAGTTTTCGGCTATTCAAACCGATTCAATTAAAACTAAAACAAAAAACCTAATGGTAGCTGCGATCGATGCATGCATAATGATATTTTTCCTTTTTATCAATATGCATTTTCCCTATATAAATCAAAATTAATGTATTTCTATTGAAAAAAGTGTAATATGATCTCAATGCGATGTGTAGTTTAATTCTCCTGTCCTAAATATCCGACGTGTATGGGGTTATTGCTTAAAAATATTGGTAAATTTTTGTTCTTTTCACAGTTTTTGTTATATATGATACACATTCATTGTTATATATCTATATTCCATAACCTTTATCTAAACTAAAATTGGAATACCATCTATTATATTTTTGTAAGCATGTCTCTTTTGCATCTAGAAAACGTACTTATCTAATGAATGTGTTCCGTATACCAACAAAGTTATAAACTATAACAATTTTACATAAATGTCTTTACGAGGACATTTCTTAATCATGTTTTTATCATATGGCCTCTAAGTCTGTATCAACTAGTATATTAATATATGTGTAGCTTGTTTCAAAGAACCTATTAACAAACATTACATTTCAGATATAATTATTTCAGATTATCTGCCCCTCTAATAAGAATTGACTATTGTTCGATCTCAATACAGAACTCTTCGTAGTTCAAAGTTTAAATGATAAATGAAGTCTACATAATGACAAAACAATTGTAAATGACAAATATAACGTTGATCACAGAGGACAAATATCGATTGATAAAATATAATTAAGATATTATATATTTAAACACAAAACAGTATTACAGTCACGGCCGGAATCGTCAGAATGTCAGTCAACTAGCCTTTTTGCAAGTAATGTCGATGCAGAAATTAATCAAAACATAAGTTCAATTACAATCATAGTAAAAGTTCTTACCTTTCACTTTATAAGTAAATCATACAACGATTTTTGTGCGTAACTAATACACATCCACTAAGCACGCTGAATACATAACACTTATATACCTTTAACAGTTAAAGCATATGTTACTTAAAGCCGATTTTAAACTACTGTATTATTTGAACCGAACCGAATTATGAAACACATCTGGCTTAAAAAAAATCTTTCAAAATCATATTTGTCGGTTGATTGTTACCTTAGCGAACAATGAGTTCAATATTTTGTAAAACAGTCATACTTGACTTCCCCCCTGTCTTGTGCTATTGATTTACAAAAGACAGACACATAGGCTAATTAAAACGAAATAAGATATTGTTTAAGTGGGAATCGTTAACAAAATATCATTATTTATCTACTACAATTTGAATATACCATTGCAAACAATATTTTAAAATTAAATCGTAAAACAGTTTTTAATGGTTATGTTATACTTACAACGTTTCGCACATATCTACAAATGAAAGGGGAAAATTAGAATATAAAGAAAAGAATGGTACAAATATAGAATTAGATATAGAATTAGTTTCTATATATTTTTATAGTCTTTTATTGATATCGTTTCCGAAGTGATTCCGCAATGTGAATCCCCGAAAGAGGAAATTCGAAATTCTGATGTATTGTCTTAGCTATTTTATATACTAAAGTAATACTACTCTTAGTATATGTTATAGCCTAAACACTATAACTTAACTATTACTTAATTATATTTTCTACTTTTATTCATTGTAAGATTGCATTCATAAATATTAATATATTTCTTTTAATAAGATAATGTCAATGACAAGTTAATGACATGAGAAAAGTAAAATTTCTGATCCTTTAGATCCAACTTTAAGAAGGTTTTAAAAATATTCAACAAAATGACCGATAATTGCTGGAGTGCAACACTTACTAAACCCGGTATTGTTCAAGGTGAAAAGGTGAAATATCAAGTTTGATTAAATGTTTTTTTTTCTTTTCATAGCAATAATGCAATAAAGATTGGTTGCCAATATATCTGTGTGCAAAGTTAAATATCTAAAACTTTTGACCCAATTTAAACAAGATTGTTCGAAATATAGAATAAAATGATCGATAATTACCAACGCGCAACCCGTACACAGCTCAGTAAGGTATACGTGTGACAGTATATTTTCTATCTGTTATGCATTTACAGCCCCGAAAGGGATGTAATTTTTAAATGTTTAGTTCATTCATATCAGAACACTCCTCGTATTTCAATGTAAAATATTTTGATATTTAGGAAGAAGTACATTGTTGTGACTTACAATTAAGGATTAGATTACCGACAATTTACTCTTAATTTATTTTAAACAATCTATTGCTTTATTATCATGCAGCATAAATATTAGAATATTATTCCTATTCATTTATATGTTCATTTATCTTATTTTAACAATCATTAAAGGCCCATTATGTCCACACATATTTTAGTCTTTATTTCTCAAAAAGTTTTTTAATGTTCACTTGGTGTTCATTAAAAAGATTTCCATTTACACGAAACATCATTTCTATCTATTGCCTCGTTTGTGATAAGTGCACATGTTGTAAATTATCATTTGGAATTGAAGTCAAAATATTACACTTTTACACGTTGTAACATGACAAATTATATCACATGTATTGCTTCTTCAAGTAACAAACATCATACACCCTCTTCACCCATGATAAACATTGTAAAATCCATCTTTGCCCTTTCTATTGAAGTAACAATACATAAATATGCTTGTGAGGCACAACGTGCCTTTAAACATAAGCACGGTTCCTCCGAGATTTACACGACATAATGTTTACAGAAAAAGATGATATTTATCCATTTACCAAGGTTAAATGAGATATAATTCGTCCGACTAAATAAACATTTTTTGGACAGATAGACTTCCTGACAAACAATGTAAGTACTGTACACTGTTCTGTATCTTCATCTATATAGAAATACCTTATAATAAATATGAATAAAACGAAAATATGCCTTGTTAATGTTAAAATGTCAACAACAACAAAATACTATAATATTTAAGATATTCAATGCTGGAATTAATGCCTTCTATATAATAATATAGTTGGGAATAATAAT